GGAGATTGCCAAACACACACGCGCTGAGTGGGGAGGGCCACAAACTGAACCCTCACGAGTAGGGTGATGTTGGGTAGTGCCGGACACATAGACGCTTCGAGTGGGGAAAGACACATACTTAAACCTCACATGTGATTTGCATTGGAGATTGCCGGACACGTAAACGTGTTGAGTGAATACAGCTGCAGACTGAAACCTCACAGATGGATTGGTTTTTGAGATCGCCAGACACGTAGACGCGCTGAGTGGGGATAGCCTCAAACTGAAACCTCACGAGTTGAGTGATGTTGGGTAGTGCCGGACACATAGACGCTTCGAGTAGGACATATACATACTGAAACCTCACAGGTGATTTGCATTGAAGATTATCAAACACAGACGCGCTGAGTGGGGAGGGCCACAAACTGAACCCTCACGAGTAGAGTGATGTTGGGTAGTGCCGGACACATAGACGCTTCGAGTAGGACATATACATACTGAAACCTCACAGGTGATTTGCATTGAAGATTATCAAACACAGACGCGCTGAGTGGGGAGGGCCACAAACTGAACCCTCACGAGTAGAGTGATGTTGGGTAGTGCCGGACACATAGACGCTTCGAGTAGGACATATACATACTGAAACCTCACAGGTGATTTGCATTGGAGATTGCCCGACACGTAAACGTATTGAGTGAATGTGGCTGCAGACTGAAACCTCACAGATGGATTGGTTTTTGAGTTTGCCAGACACGAGACGCGCTGAGTGGGGATAGCCACAAACTGAAACCTCACGAGTTGACTGATGTTGGGTAGTGCCGGACACATAGACGCTTCGAGTGGGGAAAGACACATACTGAAACCTCACAGGTGATTTGCATTGGAGATTGCCCGACACGTAAACGTATTGAGTGAATGTGGCTGCAGACTGAAACCTCACAGATGGATTGGTTTTTGAGTTTGCCAGACACGAGACGCGCTGAGTGGGGATAGCCACAAACTGAAACCTCACGAGTTGAGTGATGTTGGGTAGTGCCGGACACATAGACGCTTCGAGTGAGGAAAGACACATACTGAAACCTCACAGGTGATTTGCATTGGAGATTGCCGGACACGTAAACGTGTTGAGTGACTACAGCTAAAGACTGAAACCTCACAGATGGATTGGTTTTTGAGTTTGCCACACACGAAGACGCGCTGAGAGGGGATAGCCACAAACTGAAACCTCACGAGTTGAGTGATGTTGGGTAGTGCCGGACACATAGACGCTTCGAGTGAGGAAAGACACATACTGAAACCTCACAGGTGATTTGCATTGGAGATTGCCGGACACGTAGACCTGTCGAGTGAAGACAGCTATAGACTGAAAGCGCACAGATCGATTGGTTTTTGAGTTTGCCAGACACGGAGACGCGCTGAGTGGGGATAGCCACAAACTGAAACCTCACGAGTTGAGTGATGTTGGGTAGTGCCGGACACATAGACGCTTCGAGTGGGGAAAGACACATACTTACACCTCACAGGTGATTTTCATTGGAGATTGCCGGACACGTAGACCTGTTGAGTGAAGACAGCTATAGACTGAAAGCTCACAGATCGATTGGTTTTTGAGTTTGCCAGACACGTAGACGCGCTGAGTGGGGATAGCCTCAAACTGAAACCTCACGAGTTGAGTGATGTTGGGTAGTGCCGGACACATAGACGCTTCGAGTAGGAAATATACATACTGAAACCTCACAGGTGATTTGCATTGGAGATTGCCGGACACGTAAACGTGTTGAGTGAATACAGCTGCAGACTGAAACCTCACAGATGGATTGGTTTTTGAGATCGCCAGACACGTAGACGCGCTGAGTGGGGATAGCCTCAAACTGAAACCTCACGAGTTGAGTGATGTTGGGTAGTGCCGGACACATAGACGCTTCGAGTAGGAAATATACATACTGAAACCTCACAGGTGATTTGCATTGGAGATTGCCGGACACGTAAACGTGTTGAGTGAATACAGCTGCAGACTGAAACCTCACAGATGGATTGGTTTTTGAGATCGCCAGACACGTAGACGCGCTGAGTGGGGATAGCCTCAAACTGAAACCTCACGAGTTGAGTGATGTTGGGTAGTGCCGGACACATAGACGCTTCGAGTAGGAAATATACATACTGAAACCTCACAGGTGATTTGCATTGGAGATTGCCGGACACGTAAACGTGTTGAGTGAATACAGCTGCAGACTGAAACCTCACAGATGGATTGGTTTTTGAGATCGCCAGACACGTAGACGCGCTGAGTGGGGATAGCCTCAAACTGAAACCTCACGAGTTGAGTGATGTTGGGTAGTGCCGGACACATAGACGCTTCGAGTAGGAAATATACATACTGAAACCTCACAGGTGATTTGCATTGGAGATTGCCGGACACGTAAACGTGTTGAGTGAATACAGCTGCAGACTGAAACCTCACAGATGGATTGGTTTTTGAGATCGCCAGACACGTAGACGCGCTGAGTGGGGATAGCCTCAAACTGAAACCTCACGAGTTGAGTGATGTTGGGTAGTGCCGGACACATAGACGCTTCGAGTAGGAAATATACATACTGAAACCTCACAGGTGATTTGCATTGGAGATTGCCGGACACGTAAACGTGTTGAGTGAATACAGCTGCAGACTGAAACCTCACAGATGGATTGGTTTTTGAGATCGCCAGACACGTAGACGCGCTGAGTGGGGATAGCCTCAAACTGAAACCTCACGAGTTGAGTGATGTTGGGTAGTGCCGGACACATAGACGCTTCGAGTAGGAAATATACATACTGAAACCTCACAGGTGATTTGCATTGGAGATTGCCGGACACGTAAACGTGTTGAGTGAATACAGCTGCAGACTGAAAGCTCACAGATCGATTGGGTTTTGAGTTTACCAGACACGAAGACGCGCTGAGTGGGGAGCCACATACTGAAACCTCACGAGTTGAGTGATGTTGGGTAGTGCCGGACACATAGACGGTTCGAGTAGGAAATATACATACCGAAACCTCACAGGTAATTTGCATTGGAGATTGCCAAACACAGACGCGCTGAGTGGGGATAACTACACTGAAACCTCACGAGTTGAGTGATGTTGGGTAGTGCCGGACACATAGACGGTTCGAGTAGGAAATATACATACCGAAACCTCACAGGTAATTTGCATTGGAGATTGCCAAACACAGACGCGCTGAGTGGGGATAACTACACTGAAACCTCACGAGTTGAGTGATGTTGGGTAGTGCCGGACACATAGACGGTTCGAGTAGGAAATATACATACCGAAACCTCACAGGTAATTTGCATTGGAGATTGCCAAACACAGACGCGCTGAGTGGGGATAACTACA